CCAATCTATGAGGTGAAAGATGTGATGTATTCAGAGGGTCTCTGAGAAGAACTAATACGTAGCATCTTTCTTTGCTGCTCTAATTAAAAAATTTCCTATACATAACTTTTGAAAAGACGAGGAGATAAACACCAATTTCTCCTCACAAGCTTCAGAGTAAACAAGCTTCAGAGTAATGGGTGAGAAGAAATAGGTGTGTAGGAAAATTTATGTATAGGAAAATTGTTTAGAGGCAGTTTCTTCTCATTAGCTTAAAAATAATGGGTGAACCCATTGCAGTTCTTTAAAAAATTTCCTATACATAACTTTTGAAAAGACGAGGAGATAAACACCAATTTCTCCTCACAAGCTTCAGAGTAAACAAGCTTCAGAGTAATGGGTGAGAAGAAATAGGTGTGTAGGAAAATTTATGTATAGGAAAATTGTTTAGAGGCAGTTTCTTCTCATTAGCTTAAAAATAATGGGTGAACCCATTGCAGTTCTGACTGGTAGCTAAAAGAATGGTGGGTGAGGCAAACTTTTAACTATGAAAAGTGCTATGTGGAGTTGGGGTGTCAATAGTAGCTTCTGAGAAAAAGTGACATTCAGTCTGAAACTTGAGACACTATGGCCTGGTAAGAGTGAGTAGAGGGAGTGAGGAGAAGCCAGCAGAGAAAACTTCAGGAGATAGGTCTCAGAGAGATAGCCTGAGATGCTGAGTGTGTTGTTGTAATTTATATGTGGCTTATTTTGAATAAATCTTTAAATTTTGAATTTATAAATAACTGATTTCTGTATTTGCATTATTTTAAAGCTACATTTACATAAAATTCATTCTTTGCATTATTTTAAAACTATATTTACATAAAATTTGTTCTTCGTGTTACTGGCTATAATGCTTACTAGTCATTTCATTCCACACCTTCTCTGCTTTTTATTTCTTTGTGCTGTTTTTCCTATAGAATGCTTTCAGTAGACCTTTTGAGAAAAATTTTCCCTCCAAGAAGGTTACACGAGTTGTGCAAGGGCTCTCTAAATGGTTTTCTCTTAGAATTATTTCTTCATTCTTTAAGCTACTTTTAATAATGGACTGGCAGGTGACATGGTGCTTGAGGTTCTGGACTTCCACACGACTGACCGCGGTTCTAGTCCTGGACTTGGCAGCTTGCTTTTTCACTTTCTCTCTCTCTCTGGTGAGTGCATATGTCTTGTAGCAAATTAAAAAGTAATAATAATGACAAATACAGTTAAATAATTTATTTAAAAATATTTTTATAGGGATGGCATAATGGTTAAGTTGTTGGACTCCCATGTAGTTGAGCATAGTTTGGGTCCCAGATCAGGTGGAATAAAACTCATGCTGAGTGTGTGTGTGTGCATGCCCAAGATCCAGAGAGGAGAATGGAGAAGGGATTGTGATGTGGTCACCCCCCCCGGGAGGGTGATTTCTTGCTTTCTGTCTTTCTGTCTCTCTCTGGCGAGCACACACACCCTATGGCAACAATCTCTCAAAAATACACACACACACACACGTATACATTTAATAAAAAAATCTCACCAGTATCTTCTTTCTGTTCTTTTTTGTTCCTTTGGCTGGTAAATCATGTCACCTTTCCCTCTGCAGACTCAGTTGTTATTTTAGTGTAGGAATTTTTTTCTCTTATGTCATTCTCTATGAAAAGACTTAGCCTCATTACACAAATCTTTGTTCTTTCCCTTCTGTTTGGGAGGATTCTTCAAGTGTATAGTCTAAATTGCTGAGTCCATTTTCCTGCTCCATTAGATCTTCTGCGTGCTGATTTTTGAACTTGGTTATATTTTAGATTCTTTCTAATATTTTATTAATCCATCTTACTCTTTTTGAAACATTTCTGTCTGGGGACCAGTGGATGGCATAATGGTTATGTCAGTGGACTCCCACATAGTTAACTGCGGTTCGAGTCCTGACCCTGGTGGCTTAAAACTCACGCTGGGTGTGTGCATGTGTATGTGTGTGTGTGTGTGTGTGCTCAAAATCCTGAAAGGAGATTGGAGGAGAAAGGATTATGGCATGGGTATTCCCCCTGGGGGTGATTTCTCTCTTTCTGTCTCTCTGTCTCTCTGTGTTTCCATCAAGTGTACGTGCTCTAGCAAAAATCTCTCTCAAAAAATTTTTTTTGTCTCTATCTCACCCTGCTCATCAGTCAACTCTGTGTGCAGCATAGTGCAGTGGCAGAGCACTTACACAAGTCCAGGTTGCATGGGCGGCATTAGCGCACTGCCACCTGCTAGCTGTGTGGCTGTGTATAATTTGTGTAACCTGTGCCTCAGATTTGGCTTCTGAGAAATGGAGAGGATAATATGTCTCTTTTACAGAGCTGTTGTGAAGAGTACAGAGTCAATTCATGTAAAACATTTAGAATATGAAGCAATCAGTCACTTAGTTCCTGTTTAACCTATAGTCTACATTTTCCTAAGTTATTCAAAATAATTATTTGGAATTTCATCCAACTGTTGTGGCATACATCAGTATGTATTTTTGCCTGTGTATATTTTGTTTACTTACTTTTTAAATCATCAAGTACTACTCAATTTTAGTTTTTCTTAAATTTTTTTTAAGAGAGGTTTTTGCTATAGGACCCATGTACATGCCAGAAAGAGAGAGAGAGAGAGACAGAAAGTGAGAAATCACCACTTAGGGGGGATGGCCATGCTGCCATCCCTTCTTCTCCATTCTCCTCTCAGGATCTTGGGCCCAGCCTGAGTGTTAAGCCATTGGGTGCAGAATTTGAACCACGATCGACTAGGTGGGAGTCCAGCAACATAGCTATTACGTCAACTACTGGTCCTGAGTTTTTCTTAATTTTTAATTCTTTCAATAACCCATGTGATTACCCTTAAACATCTTTTCTGTTAGTTAAACTGATACACTCATAGGCATGTATCTCTTCTAGACAGATCTCTGGGGGCTCAAAGTATTTATTGTGTGGTATTGACCCGAGGACAGAATCCTTGGTCCTTGGCATGTTAATATGGTGGAGCTTAAGACTGGCACATTTGAAGCCATCTGTAATTCTCTCCTGAGAACAGGCAATGACAAATGACAATGCCTGGCTGGCATTGCTCTCACAGTGCTTCCAACTTTAGTTCCTACCGTTCGGTCCTTCCCGCTGTAGTTACACTGCATCCCTTCCCAACGTCTTTACCCCAACGATGTCGTATTGCCAGGAGCTGTAGTCTGAGTGAGAGAAGAATCGATGGGGCATGAAATAAATTTGGCCACTCAGAAAGTTGAGAAGCTCTTATTGAAGAAGATTCTGTGCCTGTGAACTGGGTGCTATGGAAGGTTGAAGATGGAAAATCCTCAACTCTCTTGTTTTGCATCTTTTTATCTTTCTGAAGAAGGTATAGATAGTGGTTAAGGATTCATGTTACAGACTCACATAGACCTGGATTAAATTCCAGCTGATAGCTGGGTAGTCTAGGTCAAAACAGTTCATCTCTTTGAGCTGGAGTTTATTCATTCGTAATAATGGACATAATACAAGTCTCTGAGGTTTTATATGAGGATTGAAGTTAGAAGGTGTTTAATAAATGGCAGCTATTACTATCTTGGAAACCTCCCTCTTCCTTTACAAGCTTATAGCACCACCTTGTCCTCGCCCCCAGGTGTAAGGCTCAAATCTCAGTTTTCAGTTCTTGAAGAAAGCTGTGATGGTTAAGTGCCTACAGGGTAGTCAGTGGTAGGATGGCAAGGAAGGGCAGAAGGTTCAGGGATGATGCAGGTGACGGGCTGAGTTGGGGACCGAGGCACATGAATTATCCAGTAGCCAAAGTTCTCCAAACCCCAGAATGATTGAAGACTCTGCAAGACAGCTTATCTCCAGGTAGAACTCGACAGGTCCTTTCTTCTAGCTCCCTGTGCTGTCATTGCTAAAATGCTTTCTTTTGGCAGTCTATATTCTGTTATTCCTAAATATTAGCACTTTCTTCACAGAAGACATTTCCCTGGGGACCAGCAGTTAGCGTAATGACTATGTCGCTGGACTCCCACGTAGTTGACTATGGTTTGAGTCCTGGACCTGGTGGCTTAAACTCATGCAGGGCACGTGTGCATGCGTGCCCTGGAAAGACCAAGGGGCCTAGGCTTCCATCTTCCTATGAAAGGTCTCCCTATTCCTGGAAACCTTTTCTTCTTCACTTTGGATTTTTTTGTTGATCCTTGAAGCCCTTGACATAAGAGGACTGATCTAACCAACACCTCCTCTACTGCTTTTTAAAGCCAGAACTTCATTGTTTCTTCTTCTTCTTCTTAAAAAATAACTATTAATTAATTTTACTTATCTATTCATTTACTTTAATTTGATGAGAGAGAGAGAGAGAGAGAGAGGAGAGAGAGAAAGAGAGAAGGAAAGTGAGAAAGCAAGCCACCAAGTCTGGGACTCAAACCATGGTCGGCATGAGGAAGTCCAGTGCCTCAGCCAACACACCACTTGTCAGCACCCAGAATTTCATTGTTTTTATCAGTTCTTAGCCCTATAATGTTTCAAGTTCTAGGTAATTGCTTACATGGGAGCCTGTTTTTATATAGCATCATATTTGCTTTTTAAAATTCTTATTTTAAGCCTAAAGATACTTCTCCCAATACTTCTCATAAATCATGGGAGAGACAGTATCCTCCTGATGACTTTATTATCCTTTTCCCAAAAAATAGAGACAGATGCATTTATTTAATAACGATTATCCTTTGTCCTGCCAGTGGGCTACAGGCTTCATTGAACTTTGGTTTGGAAATTCCCTGTGGATTTTCGACGATTATCCTCTGGTATTTTTGGTGCTGTTGAAATGTATCTTTCTCTATGTTTTTATGAAGGCAGATCGAGAAGCACTAGCCTTCTAGTACCTCCTTATCTCAGATTACCTCAGTTGTGTTTACAGCATGGATCATCTTCAGACTTTGAATACAGAGCACAATTTATGTAAATTTTCAGAATATCTTGAAGACTAACTGTAATTATTTGGAATGTCACCTTCTCTTTCAGCTGAATTTTATTCTGTTTCTGAATACAGTCAGAGTCTTGGCTACCAAAATTCGAGAGACCAATGCAGTTGGGCATGACACAAGAAAGCAATACAGGTAATTCCAGAACAGACATCCATCAGAGAAACACTTTGGTCACTATTCAGACCAAAGAACAAGTACTGATTGATATGAAATGTCTTTAATGGGTTAAATCCATGCATATGTGTGTGTGTGTGTTTGTGTATGTATGTATATATATATTTTATCAATTGTGTGATTTATTGGAAATGTATGTATATTTTAGAAGAAAATAAATAATTCTGACCTTCCTCTTCTACTTAAATGTCGAGTATGAATGTTTTACCTTTTTCTCTTTTTAAGAGATTTTTGCTATAGGGTATGTGTAATCACCAGAGACCCAGAGAGACAGAAAGTGAGAAATCATACCCAGGCAGATGGCCATGACACAATCCCTTCTCCCCCATTCTCCTCTTGGGACCTTTGGCATTCATGTGCACCTGCCCAGTGTATTTCAAGCTATTGTCTGGGACTCGAAATGCAATCAGACATGTGGGAGTCCAGTGTCTTAACCATTATGCCACCTGCTGGCCCTGTTTTATCTGTTTTTAATAGATTGGAATTTTTGCATAAGCCATATGAATGCCCAGAAGATCTCCATTTAAAAAAATATTATTGGGAACCAGCAGTTAGCGTAATGGCTATGTCGCTGGACTCCCATGTAGTCAACCGTGGTTCAAGTCCCGGACCCGGTGGCTTAAACTCACGCCAGGCACGTGTGCGTGCGTGCCCTAGATCCCAAGAGGAGA